ATCCGCCGGTGCCATATACAAAATGGTGTTGAAGAGCGAAACCAATTGAGTTGTGCGATTCGTGCCCGGCATGAAGTCCAGGAGCGGCGAGTTCTCGGCGTAACTGTAGTCATTGGCGTCGACGACAGCGAATACCAGCTCGGTCATGTTCTTCACACCATCCAGATACCTGGCGGATTGCGATCCACTCGTTACTGAGAGAAAACTTAGGTCACCTAAGTTTTCTCTCAGTCACGAGTCACGCCTTATATGAGTCAAGTAGGCTCCGAAAAGAAAATGGTAAAATCCCCCCCCTCCCCAACCCCAACACCTAAGCCCCTTTCACAAGTGGAGGACGAAAAACTCTCATAACTCCCTAAGCAACCTCTATTTCCCCTGTCAATGTGGTACTCTGTCCAAAACCCTTGCAAAATGCAATATTGATGCGGTGAACGCACGTAGAGTCACTTCGTTGCTTATGAAAGCAGCACCTCTTCTGAAGCTGAAATTCTTTCCTTGGACGATCATTCAAAAGACCAAATTTATTATTGATGACCTGATTTGTCCTGCCATGACCTCTGGTTTTACCCAGACCTAACGATTGACATGTGACTTTCGAGAGACCCCATTGAGTTACCCATCGAGTGCTTTCTTGAATCCTTCTTGTTCAAACTTCGGACAGACGACCCAACGGACGTCTCTGACCATCAAGGGAATGACCTCGCACCCAGATGCATCCCACAGCTCGGGGAGCTGGTCTCGGAACTGGGCCAGCTTGTAGCAGACGATGGGGTTGGAGTTGCAGACGGTGACGGCGGGGAATCGGATCTTCTGGGCGTGGCTCATGGAGACGTATGTGATTACCGGGTAAGAAAGGTAATCCACCACAATTTTGGACACTGAGTATCCTGTCAAAAGAGCTCCGGCAAGGAATACAGCCATCCAAAACTGCGAAGAAAGTACATGTTTAGAGGTGAACATTCCTGTTAAAAAGACTCCTCAACATATAGTTCTCCGTCCTTAGTGAGAATGGTGCTTGTGGGAAGAAGTCGACTGACTTTTGAGCTCAATTTTTTTCACTTGGGACGAGAAACATTTCAAAGGTTCGGCAATATAACAACCAAACATGTTTTCAGACTTCCTTTGTGACCAGTAGTGGCGCTTTCACTTCGATGGGCCCCATCAAAGGAGTGCATCTCGTATCTCTTTCCACATCCGAATCCCATGTTGCCCCCCCCCCCCCTGTACACCTGCTTGCCTTGTCTGGAACTACTGATGCCTTTATAACTTCAACATGCAATTTGAAAATTTAGAAACACAACGAAGAAAGAAGTTTGTACTGCACGGAGTCCTGTTTCCCATAAATCCCATTCACCACATTAAAGGAGGAAAATCCAGAGCAACCATCCCACTGCATAGTACTCACCAGTTTCAGTCCAGTACTTCCATACCTCCTGGAATGGGTGATTCCGGGGAGGGAACAGAAGAGCCAATAATTCTGGACACTTCCTCTGATGGTCGTCCAGAGGGATTTCTTCACTCTAAAGGAGGAATGTCGAGCGTGTTCGTCCATCCCCAAAGGGCTCACTTTTTTCTCCATCCTAATTCTGCGATGATTATGCAGGTGTTGTACCGTGTCACAGAATGCCGATTACGTCTACTCCGTTTCACGGAGTGTCCACTGTTCCCCGGATGGACATCATCTGGGCTTGCAGCGACATACGCTATAAGATGTGGGAAGAGCTCATTGATCGAGGTAATTGGAAAATCCCCCTGTCTCCGGACGATTGAAGCGCCAGTTCGCCGCGCCAAAGCTAGTCTCTTGGCTCCTTTCGTGGCTCTCAGAATTCCGCCTTTCTCCCATCTCGACCGCTTCACGTCACTACATTCGACGCCGGACGTTCAGTTTTTGGCTGACCGACTGTTCTCCCAGCCACATCACGCAACTACGAAATTTATTATCTCAGTACACGCATAATACAGGGTGTTTCAAATTGATGGACCCGATTTGATATCACTATATCTCTGCAACCACGAACCGCCCATGAATGAATCTCTTACCACTTGAAAGGGTGGGGCATAGAGTTTCAAATGATTACCGCTAGATGCCTCTCCCAGCGCACAAACAGCCCCTAGCCTCAGTCATTCGCAAGATGGCGACCCCGCAACACAAGGCGTTTTGCGTTCTTCAGTTCAGCAAGACTGAATCCGTAATTGTGGTGCAGAGTGCGTTTCAACGGCGTTTTGACATTGATCCGCCAATGCCAAAGAGCATTCGTCGTTGGTACCGACAATTTGAGGAAACAGGTTCTTTATGTAAGGGGAAGAGCACAGGGCGACCTTATACTTACTATGACCTTAAAATGGTTAGTAAACCTTGATAACTCATTAAACCGTTTGTAACTTTTGGTGTAATTGTAACATGTTGCCATCGTGAAAGTACTGCTTTGCAATCGGGTCCATCAATTTGAAACACCCTGTACAATGCATAATTTTCTCACCATAATACATTCTCCGCATTCTGAGGCAATGTGCCAACCAGAAAATTCCATCTTTCATCATGTTACAAAACAATGCAAAAGGGAAAATACTCCTCCACAAAATATACGCACAGGGCGTGCCGATGTTACCACACCGTCATTTTCGTCCGTTTTGCATGACTGTACCTGTATTCCTTGCTGGAGCTCTTTTGACGGAATTTTGAGCGTCTCGAATCGTGATGGATGCTGAACTATGAACCAGTTTTGTGAGCCAGATTCCCTCACATAAAACGTTCATTATGAACCCTCGGATGCCACGGCTTGCTGTGAGGAACCTCTGTCATGTACTCGAACGGGTTTTTCCTTCCCTGTTTGTGACCCCTTTCATCCCTTTCACCCTTTTCATCCCTTTCACCCCTTTCACCCCTTTCATCCCTTTCACCCCTTTCATCCCTTTCACCCCTTTCATCCCTTTCACCCCTTTCGTCCCTTTTACCCCTTTCGTCCCTTTCACCCCTTTCGTCCTCGCCGTGGGGCATGTACCCAGCCCCCTCACCTTGGGCCGGAGGACTACTTCCTCTGGCCAGCTTTGCCCTGAAAAATAGTGGATGCTTCACGTTCGAGGTCATTCGTGGGGATTCCGAGGCATTTTCCTGAGCATTCTTGGAGCTACTCCTGAAGCATTCTGGCTCAATATCGGGGATATTCTCCACGTTTCGGCAGGGCAACTCTCGCCAGCCATGACTTCCCTTCGCATCAGAACTCCGTGCTCCAACCATCCCTTCCACAACCTGGTGACCTCCCCTCGGAGGATGTTTTATTATAACGCTATTAAACCTTGTTCAGATAGTAAGCCTTGGTTTTCCATTCCCTACCATGCGACCTCTTGTTCACGTGGGACTTGGCGCTGAACCTAAGCAAACTTTCACTCACGCAACGTCAGCCCGCTAATAGCGGCAGAAGATCCACGCTATCCTTCTACCCAACAGAGCAACGCAACCTACCCACGTGACACCTCTACCGTGGTCGTCGCTGAAGGTGGAGAAACACTCGAAGTCTTTGCGAATTCGAGTGGGTGGTCAAACGTCAAAAGTGAATAAATCGATTTTGCGATCATTCACCATAAACGACAGGTTTTTAGGTAAACTTTGCGATTTTACTTCAAGGGTTGGAGCTCGAGTTTCATTCCCCAGACAAGAGACCGTATCCAATGGAGCAGGTACTCTTCTAAATTGCAATTTTAAATGCTCCCTTTATCAACTTGATGGAGAAAGAGAGCCTCAGGGGTTTTTATGCTATCCCAAACCAGAACAGAGAACCAAAGAAAACAGGGCATTCAATATTGTGACGGATGAGGATGGCATCGAGGGGCACGACTGAATTTCCCGGATTCGGTGGTGTAGTGGTTGCACACCTGACCGGTAATCAGGAGGACCTGGTTCAATTCCCAGCCGTTCCTTGGGTTTTTTCGACCTTTCATGCCGTCCGTCTCCACTTTCCCTCTCCGTAACGATAACATTATCTAACATCACAGTTTTTTCATGCTATAATTCTCCCCCTGGCTTCAGCTCGAAAAAGTGGAACATGAATTTTCAAGACTCCTGTCTTTCGGACAGAAGGAAAAAAATAGTTACGTATCGAGTGCTTCCTTGAGTTCTTCTCAATCGAAACCCTCAGAGTCGAGTCGTGATTGCCCATCAAGGCGATCATCTTGCATCCTGATGCCTTCCCTAGTTGGGGGATCTGGTCCCGGGACTGGGCCAGCTTGTAGCAGACGATGAGATTTGATTTTCAGGCGGGGACTGCAAGTAATGCGACTTTTCGTGCTTGGCTTATGGATACTTCTGTGACCGCCGGGTAGGAAAGGTAATCAGCATCAACTTGGCATACCACGTCATAGTCGCTCCACGGTTAGGATGGGGTTTAGGGGCATGAGTATTTCAAATGCGAAATAGAGGAAAACCAGCTTCTCGTCCTAGGAGCGAGGCGTGTCCCACAAGGCTGCATAGATGCTGGGAAACGCACAATCGCGCCATGAAGTCAAAAGGAAGCACACAACGGAGCCTCGATAAATTTCTCTGATGCAATATACTGACATCGGAAGGCGGGTGGATACCACATGTGTTGCATGAAATTGCGAACACCCTAAAGAAATGTTATCAACTTCCCTAGGCAATCCATTCTCGATGAGGAGAGGCAGAGAATGATTCAGAGTTAATTGGCCTTTCATCGTGGAAAATGGGCAGGCGAAAAACAGCATGAACATCGGAGGATCGATATACGAATTTTATGCGCAGTTCCTGTGTAAATAGCGATGTTTCCAGTTCAAGGGCATTATTTTGAAGTGCTCCACCCTCCGTCCGGATGTTTACAATGGTACTGTACTTTTTTTTTATTTAGAAACACCTGGGTGCACAAACAAATTGGTCATGCTAAGAAGCAGTCAGTAATTTGGGATAGGTGTGGCAATAACATCGATTCTGACCAGGCATCGGCGTGCACGATATTTATTTCGTCAGTTGAACGGTGCAACCATAATGTTCACCGACTACCCCACACTTCACGGTGACAAACGGGAGGAGAGTGAGCTTCAGGAATGGGGTACATCGATGCGATGATCCGATCGAAGGCCTTAGTTCCTTGAGAGACGGAAGGGCCGGGTCGCGCTCCTGACTCCATTCCCTTGAGTCGACCTCCATTCTCCTCCGGTTCAGCTCGCGAATCCTTTCCGAGGAAATGCCGAGCGATGTCGTAGAGGAGAAAGGCGAGGAATTCCAGGACCTCGATGAGCATCACGACACACATCCCCAGGTAGATCCCGAATACCCCTCCCAGGTTACTCACCACTCCATTCAACTAGCAGAAATCAAACTGAATTACTTCATATCTGAAGATAATTTCATCACAAACCCACCAAGAGCCTACTTTGACGAGCCTTCTTACGTCATATTTCGGCTGTTCCTGGATCGTTTGGAGATTGAGGGAGCGAAAAAATATCTCAACCTTCAGCATGTCCTTCTGAATGTTTTCCTTCGTCGTCGCATATGCTGCAGGATCGTTTTGAATTGACCCAAGGACATCATCGAGTCCTAGATTGACGGCCACTCGGTTCAACAACGTATTCTACACGAAGTCCAACACGGTGTCTGTTAGCATCTCGAGGATGGAATGCAAGAAATGCGAACTATGGAAGTGTTCCTTACGAAATATTTCTCCGATGGCCAAGTTGCTGTGGAGAGTGCTACGTCGTATGATATCTCCCTAGAAACATAATTTTGTCGTTGTCTTTATAAATAGTACGTCTTGAAATGGGAACAAATGCTTACGATACACCCATCACTCATCTTCCTTTGATTCCTTTTTTATTTATTTACCCCAGTATGAGCAAGGCGCCAGGACCCTTGGATCATTAATCACCGGTCATACTCGTACGTACCTTGGGATCTTGAGGTAATTTACTGTATACGGAGAGAACAGAACTGCTTCCAGCATGCGGTTATTGTTCCTCCTATGAGCGCTAAAGCTTCAGATATCCGTTGGTCTCAGAAGAAACAAAAAGTCGGGCTGAAATGTAAACGATAACCATCCCCAACACATGCAACTGCCGTTAGCAAATGATTCTCAGGACTGCTCATTTGTCGACAAACCTCAGGGGAAAAAAAAACTGCAACTAAGACTCAGACAGAACTAAACCCGAACTCTGAATGTAAAACAGAGCTTTGCCGTTAAGCGTCAAACTTCTACCGTCTCCTTTGAAATGATCATGAAGGACCATATTGTCATGACTAAATATTTATTTTCCCAGCTTTTCTACCTTCATGAATAGCGCAGTCCGCCATAAACCTGTTTGTCGTTATTGGGAATGATCACTTCTTCACCCAGTACTCTTTCCTGCCCTCGGTCAACCTTCAAAGTCGAATATCCCGACTGGAAGCAATTAGTGACTCACAGGCAGGGAGGACCGCATTCGACAGGCTTGTTTTGGAGTTCTGATGACACGTTCACGATGCACATCTGATTCTCGGCTGGAAATTCAGGGACTCTTGGGAATAAGTTTGGCGAGAGGACCTTTGTTCATTTTGACGTTTAGTTTGATGACCTCACCTCCGACGTTGATGTCGCACGAATTAAGGCCTCGATAGGATATCCCGTTGTGAAGAAAATAGTCCTGGACTTCAGGGTTCCGACAACTGCAATTTCTGGCGATCTCGGCTGTTTGTCTCAGTCTCTCGCATTGCTACAAGAAAACACACGGTTTTTCCCTCGCATATTAAAACCTTTCATTTAAGGCGTCCAGCCTCTTGACCAGACGGAGGCAAGAGAAAGGGGACCTTTCAAACGTACTCCTAAGTCATTCAGAGACTTAAGTCTAGACCTAAGTCATTAAGATACTTAAGAATGCTTTAAGGGAGATAGTTTGACTCACGACTTGACTGTAACCGAGGCTGACATTCAGATTAAATGTAGGAGGAAGGGGTTCGTAGTCAGTCTGTGTCCAGTCCGTCACACAGTCGGTGCTATAAGGACTCGGCAGCCTGGACATGTTCACCTGAAAACGTGAGGATGTTTGAGACAGCCTGGAATGGACCGGTCCTGGAATGGACCGAAGTGGAGGCCAGAAAGAGTCCCTTCGAATGATTCATATCCTTACAATTTGTAAAGCAAAGACAGTGTGAGTACTGGGTTGAACGAAGTATCCCTGTTCCACAGGATTCGGCAATTGGTCTGGGGAATGAATGGTGACTCGGGCTCCGGCACTCGCTGAAATCGGGTTTGCGATGTAGTTCTCCTGGTCCACAAACAGTTCCAGAGACAAGCCTGTCCAGAAATTGAACAGGGAAGAGCAATTTGGTGTGGATCAAGAGGAAAATAGGTGGAATTCACCCAATTTGGACCTACTAACCTGTTTCTTCTCCAGTTTTTCCTGAAATCCTTTTTCCTGCATTGGAATCGTTCGGATTCCAGGCTGCGTTGAACATGAAGCAAGCCCCATAAAGTGGTGTAAGTATCAGCTGAAAATTTCTGAAAGGAAAGCATACCACGTCGGTGAGCCTGTCAAGGGTTTAATGTACGTGATTTTACATGTTGTAATGATCATCACACTTCCTAATGTACCCAATGCGAGACCACAGCTGCTCTACGGACGTTAACAGTCTTTAATGCACTGCATACTCATTGTATTTTACTCCTAAAAGTAACCACTCCATGTACCGCATGTTCTTCACCCATAAATGGTAATATTCTGCCAGCCCAATTGGGGGCATCGTATCGAATGCACTTGTATTTTTTGTCATGATATGATTTTTTCCCCTTTCACCTAATTAATCTTCAATAATTCGTGAATAATAGGTAATTGAATGACTTACATCTGATGTATATTCGAAAAGGCAGTTCCCAAAGACAGCAAGAATACTATCTCCCAGGTCTGCATGCAGAATATGATTTTGTGACAGCCCTGCCATAAGGCATTGTTTTTACTGGACTAGCTAAGGTGATAAGCACAAACTCCTTCTCTAGTAGAACGTTTGAACGAATTAACACCTCTTTCGCAGAAAGACCATTTTAATACCATTTCAAGGATTGAACATGTTTTCGTTGAATTCCATACAGCATGACAGAAGTGGAATAGCAGACCCCGGCCTGTAGTAGCCACTTTTCTGATGTGGTTTCTGATGTGGAGTTACCATATCCTCGGATCTTCCAAATACTTATTTTCTGAAGTCGTGGCAGACACTCATCTGAGGTTTTTTTTTTTTTACAAAATAAAATTTTCTAAAATCAAACTGGGAATCACTCCTTGATAATGATGAAAATAGGTATCATAATGAGTTGTATGCAAATCATATCCTGAGCCAACATACACATTAGATTAGAGCAGCTGATGACATAAAATACAGGAAACAATCAGCAATTGCACATCCTATCGCCATTGGAGGTTCAGTAATGAAGTAAATTTTACTCAAGATTTGGGTCATCTGGATTTGTCGAAGGTATATAAATAGGGTGGTGCTAAAGTAGATATACAGTAGCTGTTCATTTCTTATTACTTACTATTACTTTTTATTTATTACTTTTATTACTTTTTGTTTATTACTTTTCCAGTACGTCCGTAACAGCCATTTTCATTGCTCAAAAATCAGGTTCCCTGCCACTATCCTCTACTTTTAAGTGCACAAATTAAAATTAAATTACTGCTGTATACATACTTTTGCCCCACCCTGTATATACATGCTAAGACACGTAAGACATCACTTCAGAAACTGGGAAAGCTGAGGACCCGCAGAGGGAAGAAGGGGAGGGATGTAGAGGAATTTACTATATAAAAAACAAGTACAAATTTAATAGAGAACTCACTCTTCCTGCAAGCAGTCGATGCCTTGAAAGGTGCATTTCCAAATGAACTTCATCAATGAAGTCGTGATCTTTTGTTTCAGCAATTCATTCACGGTAGAGAATGTTTCTATCAGGCCCACATACTAGGAATGCAAAATCCTCTTGAAATACGATGCAGTCAGGGTGTTGTAATAAGTAAATAAGTAACCCCTTAAGCGTAAACAAGGCCTTCCTGCCTCATTGCTTGTGCCAATGCTCTGTAATACAATCAGCAAATACTTCTCTGTAGATTTGAACACGAGCACTCACATTCAAGTAGTCGTCAGTGGCAAAGGACATGTTCACCACCCCGAAACCATGAGGATCGTCTCCCTGAAAATCAGGAGGAGGTCCTTGTATGCCCCCAGGGCCTGGTGCTAATCTCTTCCTCTAAAAAAAAGGGCATGTTCATTCAGAATGTTGCAGTGACGAGTTTTATGCAGCTCATCTGAAGGAATAGGACTTACCCTCTGTAGGAGAGTCGGATTTTGTTCGTTTCCATTACTGGTGCTTATTGTCTGGTTGGACGCAAGGGCAGCGGTCGTCGAACTCGCAGTTACTGTTGTGGTGGATGTTGCAGCAGTTGTATCATTGGGAACCGGTATTGCGGTGGAAGGGAGAGCAGCAATCGTATCGTTAGCATTTGTTGATGCGGGGAAGGTTAGGTCTCCGATTGTGCTGCTGGGATTCGACGCGTTGGTGAAGGGGAAATCAGTTGGTGCCGGTCCTGTGCCTTCGTATGTCGCCGCCATCGGCTCTTGATTTGGAGCTCCGGAAACTGCATTTGGTTGGGGTTGCGACGCGGGTCCTGCAAACAAGAAGTTAGAAACTGTGAGATGGCCCTGAACATATTTGAACAATTTAAAGTGATAATTTTTAGAATAATAAATAAAATTTTTGATGAGTGATCCTCTTTGCATTTACCTGGTAAATAAATCATGAGGGCATCGAAGGCCTTACTGACATTCCCAGCCTTCAACTTCTCCGGTGCCACATACAAAAGAGTGTTGAGAAGTGCATTCAATCGAGTTGTTTTATTCCTGCCGGACATGAAGTTCAAGAGAGACGAATTTTCGGCATACGTGATGCTGTCTTCTACTAAAGCAAATACAAGCTCCGTCATATTCTCGGCTTCCTGCAAATACCTGCAACATCATATCAACCAATTTATGCCTGAGATGCAAAGTATTTTTGTGACCCAAGAACCAAATACTCTTCAAAGAGAAAATTTTAAAGAACAGACGGAATTAAGAAACTTCCTCCCCAACCTTCAACATTAATTGCCCGACATTACTTGGCAATGTCCTTACGGGTGACAAGGGGGTGATAATTGCTGGTAACGGATGCATGGATTTTAAAGAACTTATTTGCTTCCGTGTTCAGGAGTCTCCTCTAAATTCTAAGCTAACAAAGTCAATGCATACGGGCTGTGGTTTATGGTAATCCCAGGTAATGGAAGTGTCTTACCGATCGAGGGCTGCCTTGAATCCTTCTTGGTCAAAAGGCGGGGACTGAAGCCACCCGAGTTGAGTGAACATCGTAGGAGCGATCTGACACCCGGAGGCATTCCACAGCTCGGGGAGCTGGTCTCGGAACTGGGCCAGCTTGTAGCAGACGATGGGGTTGGAGTTGCAGACGGTGACGGCGGGGAAAGGCATCTTTTGCGAGTGGCTCATGGATACGTATGTGATCACCGGGTAGGAAAGGTAATCCGCCACCACTTGGTACACCGAGTACCCCGTGAGTATGGCTCCGGCGAGGAACACTGCCAGCCAAAGCTATAGCAAAATGTAATTAAAAGTCTAAAATTCTGTGGCTGCATAGCAGCGTATAGGAAATTAATTTTCGACGAATGTCATCGTGCTTGTGAACGATGACGAATGTCATCGTGAATGTGCTTTTACTCATTAGACAATATGTAGACATTAATGACCCCCAAAATTGGTTCGTTTTGACTCAAGAGTAATATCTATTGCTTATATGATTGAGCCGAATTTGTCGGTCAGTCATCTGATGAGCCTTGATTAAGCTGATGAACGTGTGATTGCCGCGGATTTAACCGTCTACCAAAGCAAGCTAACGAAGCTCTCGTTCTTTCGTTGGGATGATTTCGTATAATAAGCAAGACTCACCAATTTGAAAGAGGGTTTTTCATGTCTCCTTGCATTTGTGAGTCCAGGGATGGTTGTCGAGAGCCAAAAATTCCCGCAACTCCCCCTGACGGTTGTCCACAGACTCTTCCTCGTCTTCCCCTTGGAGGCGAAACCTTGACGATATCCATCCATCAGCGATGGATGCGACGCCTCAGAATGCAGACGAACTCGCTCCCCCGAACATTGCCCACCGCTCCTCGGTCCGTGAGACCCAATGGCACTCGTCAGCTCCGCCCTTCGCGGAATGCGATTGGTGGGCGCAGTTTGGGACTTTTAGCAAAGCCGCCCACGTGCGCAGGCTACAAATCGAGCAATGATGTAGATCTCCGCCGCATTTGGAATTTTCAAAGATTTATTTCTCCAAGTTCTTTGAGATAATATGGAAAATGTACTTTCCCTGTTAATGATGTCGAACAGTGGTGTTCAGTTAACATGAAGAATGTGGGGATGAAAAGAAGATCACCTCTTCGGGGACGTCCCCGCTTGCGCTTGAGGAAATCTTCGAAATATGAGGGCGAGAGCAAAACTTTTTTTTTTTCTTTGGAAAAGCATGAATCCTACAAATTTCAGGTACTTGATGCACATGTGTCATGTAGCTTTTAGTTTTCTTAAATCTTGCAAAATAATGTTTGTCCTAATCATTCGTGAGAGGCTTTAAGTTGATCGTGAAACTCTTGCTGGCTGCAAATATCCGCCACTCAGAATTTTTTTTTTTCCTGAAATGGGAGAGGATAAAAAAAAAGCTCCCTGACTATGGAGGGGGGGGAGGGGGGCATCGCTTCCGACCGGGCGTATGAGGGATGAGTGCTTTTCCTTACGAGTACTTTCCCATTCATTTCTTTAAGAGCTGGAAGCCTGATTGGATCGCCTGAATGAAGAACAATAACGTTAAAAATTGCAGATTTCGCCGCAAGGTGGCGCGCCCAGCAAGGTGTGCAATGGAACCATCCGAGTTCGCTGCCACAATAGATGCTTAAGGTACTATGCTTACCATGCTTAAGGTTGCATACCTGGTTTTGAATCTTCAATTTTTTTTAATCTTCTCCTCGAAAATTGACTTTGATCATGCTTTAAATCACACTAATTCGTTTATCACCATAAGAAGCCGGAAATATAATGAAATAATGGTTAATCAGCTTAATTAGTTATCAATTTTCCTACCTTGTTATACCTGGCAGAAGAAACGAAAGAGAGCAGGAGAGATCGTATAAATCGGGGTTAAGTTCAGGTCAAGAGTTATGGGCGAAAAATTAATAATTTAATTACGCTTAAGTATTTTTTCCCATTCAAATGAATGAAAAGTACCGCTCAAAATACCGTTGAAAGGTCTCTTGGCGTTATCCCGGAAAAATCACTATCATTAGGGGGAACACCCTTTTCGTTTCCATTAAAGCGGATAAAGGATATTTCTTAAGGATTTCAAGTTTCTATAGCTTTCGCAAAGTCGGCCTCGCACCTCTTGCTGCCAAGACGTTTAACCGAATGATGTGGCATAGTAGAATCCGATCCCATGTTGAAATTTGAGTAAATGACATCAGAATGCATCTGGGAAATGTCGGAATAACGTTATTCTGAAGGATAAAGAAAATGTTGCATAAACATTTTCGACAACGAAGGCGCAACATTGAATACCAATTTTAAAAATGTCAGAAGCGTTGCTAACATACAGACGAATTTGCGCCATTTATGAAGGGCATGAAATTAACGTAAAGCCTCTATCTCCGCTGCCCAATCTTTTATTCACTCAGCCACCTTGTGAGCGCGAATCGACCAAGGAACCACAGGATCGACGCTTCGAACGGTGGCCACGACCCGATCGTAGGAATCAGGCCGAGGCGAGAGCGAGCGTCCGCGCCTCCTCCGCAGCTCTGCCTCCGCTTGCCCGGGTGACCTCCCGGTCGCATCCGGTTCGCCTCTCGCGTCCAATCCGAGGAAGGAGCGGATGACGTCGAGGAGGAGGAGGGCGAGGAATTCCAGGATCTCGATGAGTATCACGACGCATATCCCCAGGTAGATCCCGAATACCCCTCCCAGGTTGCTCACCAGTCCATTCAACTGACAGAAATCAAGCAATAGGATTTACACAGGAAGAATGATGTTAGAAATTCGCAAAGCGCTTCACAGAAAACTCGAGGATCTTCCTTACGTCGTATTTCGGCTGTTCCTGGATGATTTGGAGATTAAGGGACCGGAAATAAATCTCAACCTTTAGCATCTCTCTCTGAAGCTTTTCTTTAATCTTCAAGTACTCGTCCCCATCGGGTGGAAGCGTTTCGATATAATCTTTCATTCCTAGGTTGTCGGCAACGTCTTCCAATAGGATGTCCTATAGATATTGAGTCCTTTAACATCATATTGAGTCCTTTAACATCATATTGAGTCCTTTAGCATTAGTGATGTGAGTGCAAAACGTAATGAACTCGAGTCCTTACGAAATAGCTCTCCGACGGCCAAAATGCGGTGGACAAGGCGACGTCGTATGCGATCTCCCTATAAAGATATTGTAGATTGTTAGATATTGTAATTTTAGTTAGCACCGTATTGAAGTCCGCAGCAATACGCGGGAACGTTGGCAAAGAATGGGGCATATTGGTCGCCTTGAAGGAAAAAACAAACACTTGGACCAGGTCGAAATTTTTTCTATGCTTATTTCCTGCATACACATTCACATTTCATCATTTTTCCTTCCTCCCCTGGCATATTATTACATTAGAAAATGTATTATGGCGAACGTGGCTCATGAGATATACCACCATCCTCATGATTTCGCCAAAATCGGAGATGACCAACGGCGTTGCTATATCGAGGGCTGACTATATTGTACTCCCCTCTTTGCAACGCTTTTCCAAAGAATTTTCAAATGTCCTTTTTATTTTTACACTCGGTCATTTTTGTTATTTAAATTGTTGGAGTCTTAATGCGTAGATTATTGAAACGCAGCAAAATAAAATATTTAAATAATTGATTAAATGATTAAGTTACAACTATTGAAGATAAAATTATTAAAATATTCAATCTTACTCATAGAATTGTATGAATAAACTGGTTCCTTTCACCTATTGGACTCTTCCATTGTCAACTTGGAACTTGCCATCAGCTTTGTTGTGTAATTCGTTATGTGCATGTAGTAGCGACATCTATGACAGATGTGGAATGAGCATCAATCTCAGAGTTGAAGGCTGAACAGGGTTCAACATCCCCTTCGCTTCGAATCGCTCTACGCCCAGTTAGTATTATCAAAGACGAGCCAAAGACGAGCCAAAGACGAGCCAAAGACGAGCCAAAGACGAGCCAGCCGCCAGGCACCCGGGGATACTCAGCAGCTCGTTAATTGCATCTAAGGCGAACTGGACCGTTGTAGCTGTCAATGCAGTTTCGTGAGTCCTCCAATTTCTCACGTGTGGGAAACATCGAGAGGAAATTTAGCTTTCCTCTCTCTCTCTCTCTCTCTCCTGAAAAAAATCGTCAGCGATGGAATTCCGAATGGAGCTCTACGTAGGAGCGTAACTCATACAGTCTGAGATTTTTGGAAAATACAATCGGATCTCAAGCGACAAATGAAGAGACGACGGAGATCTCGCTGTCGATGCAGACAATGAGATATGATAATGAGAAAATAAGATATGAAAGTGCAAATCTTTCTTGGCCGGTGCTCCAAGTTAATTCGATCGTGAAAAAATACAAGGCAATATGGAAATCGCGAGTTCAGATTCCCAGGTTATTTCGCACGAAAAGCATCAGTTAAAATCTGAACGGAATCTTTCTTCTCCTACTCCAACCTGGAAATTTGCATATATTCCATAAATGTGATTTAAATGTGATTTAAATGACTCACTGGCAGGGAGGTCCGCAGACGAGTTCCTCCGTTTGGAGGCGCCTGAGCACGTCCAACATGCATTTCTGATCGAAGGCTGGAAATTCGTTAATTTTGGGAAATTTCCATTGCAAAGAGTTTTCTCTTTTACGCTTTCGATGTGACTGCCTGACCTTCGATGCTGATGTTGCACGGTGGATAATCCTGATACGATCTCCCCTTGTGAAAGAAACGGTCCTGGACGGAGGGGTCAAGACAGTGGCAAGTTTGGGCGATCTCCGCTGTGCGTCTGAGTCTCTCGCATTGCTGTGAGGAACCATATATATATATACTAGTATAAAGTATATACAGTACATTTGCATGTTTGTTTGCCTTTCGGGCAAGCGAACTTGTAATCATCGCGCCTTAGGCACTTTATGATGTACCACCTAAATATGTCGATTTAATCATCTGAAGCGTGCGCGTTAGACGCTCACACCTTATGAAATGGAACAACGCCATTGATTTTAGATACTTTCATAAGTGAAGAAAAAGTTTCTCTTCAAGGGGATCCTGTTTTTTGGCAGCAAATATTTTATTCTACTGCCCCCTGGTACTGAAATTTCATAGATCCTGCGAACATTGCTGGGGAATACAAAAAAATATTCTCTCGCAGAGGTCGATGGACATCCGGTGTCAATCAATATTTGAAACACAAAGTTACTATTGAAGGAAAACCTAGCCACGTGTGAATAAACGAATCTTTTGACTTTGACATCATCTTGTCAAAATATCTGGTGACAATGTTAATACGTTCCAGGCGATGAACAGGCTGTATATTTAAGCTGAGCCTCGACTTTTTGACAGCATTGTGCATGTGTTTGGGAGTGCTACTGATTGCATTTGGCATGCCAAACCTAAAATCTCTTCTTTTGGCAAAG